TGACATATATTATTTACTGGTGGAGGCAGAAGCTAAACAGTACTTGAGAAATGGTAGCACAGTGCATCGGTGTGGAAGAATAAAGCTATGCTTAAAGGGACATTAAGCTGAAGTGGTTCTGATGACTATAATGTGTCTATAACCTGTCCCTGTAGGCTCAGCAAAGTAAATGCTTCCTTTTCATAGAAAAGGCAATGTTTACATTGCTGCCTAGTAGCACGTCTAGGTGCAGTCACTCAGACAGCCACTAGAGGTGCTTCCTATTTCAGTGCTGCTCAGTGTGCATCACCTACGTTCAGTGTCTTCACGCCCTGCGTGGAGACGCTGAATGCTCCTCAAAGAGATGCATTGATTCAATGCATCTCTATGAGGTAATACTGACTGATGCAGTTGGTAAAGTGCCTTCAGTCCTACTCCCCAAAACCTCTTATTTTAACAGTTTGAACGCTTGGACATGCAGCTTCAAGCCACGCCTCCAAGCCCCTGGGATGAGAGCCAGGGTTGTTACTTCATTCACAGTGCCATCACGGTCTGCTATAGAGAATTGTATTCAATGATTCTCTATGGCAGAATCATAGGCGCATCACAGTTAGTGCCACACATTGCCTATGGTCCCCTATGCTCCTCTATGAGGTACACCTCCAGGGTGACATCAATTAAGGAGGAGGCTGCAGAAGCGCTAAAGGAGACTCTGCATTGCAGAGAAGATGGGTAGTTTTATTTTTTTATTTTGTTTTTATAACAATCATTTAGGGTCCCTGAATCTTAGTAGGGACATTAAGACTGTAGCATTAACACATATAGTATCCCTTTAATCATTATGATAATCGTATATCTATTCCTTAAGGACGACTTAGCAGCTAATGTAAATGTGTCAGTGCAGGTTCACTTTAATAAAAACAATGTAATAAGTTCACATTGCCCTTTTTGTTTGTTTTTTTTTTTGTGTGTTTTAATTTCAAGTTAACCGAATCACATGTCATTTTATGACAAAAGATGGGCATTGTGCTTTAACAGAGGACATAACAAGATGGACTTGCTTGGTAACAAAAGTAGCATTATGTGAAAAAAAAAACACATTATATATAAAATAAATATATATACAATATCTGCAAAGTAACAAACAAACAAGGAAACAATACTATAGTGGTGAGCTTTATTTATTTGAGCAAAAAAAGCTGTAGTATGGTAGATTAATACACATAAATTCATAGTTTTATATGTATAAGAAGTCTATTGTAGAACCAAAACTGTAAAAACAAATATTACATTTGCAAAATCGGCAGTGTTTGAAGAAGAGTTCTTACTGACACATTTATGCTTGTTTGTGATTTGCACAGTTGTTTTACGGTTGTCATTCTCCTAAACCATTAACTTTTAAAGTTTGCAGAGCTAAAAAAGATTGTTCTATAGTTCAGGGTAGAGTATTGAAACACAATATTAAATATTTTCCAAACGCATTATAATTTACATTTATTTATTCCAAATACCAGATTGGCTGGTAATGTAATTAATAAATATAAACCACTTTTGGTATTTTGAAATGCTCCATTTATTTTTATTTTTTGTATTCTACATTTGTCAGTATGAGGAATCGATCCACCTACTTATTCGGGAGAATAAAAAGTGTCTATTTCTCTCAAATTGAGATTTGACCCAAAACAGTAACACACACCACTGTCATGCCATTTCCTGTTAACCCTTTCCCATGTTCCATCACTGTCTCCAGCATTTTCCAAATGTAATTTGCCAATAAGTGTTTAAGAGCTGTGCGTACCTAGAATGTTATTTTAACGTTTTGGTTCTTGTGCATGTTTACTGCTAATTTAGAGCTTTGTACATGAGATATATTTCTGGTTTCAAGATCTCTAATTCACCTTTCTGTCATTTTTTATTTTGCTATTTTTGGTGTAGTTAAGTGTTTCCTGTTAACTATAAATTTCCATCTGCCAGTTTTCTTAGTGTCAAATCAGTTACTATCTGTATCTTTGCATACATTTTGAAAGATTTAAAATGAACATGTTATTTTAACATCAATTTAAATTGTTGCTTGTTGTACAATAAAAGCCATCAAAAAATATTGTATTCTCTTGTATCATATGATTAATAAGTTAATATTCTCACTTCATATCCATAGAGTTGCAATCTATATATTTTTATTTTTTTAAAAAACAAGTGGGGTGCTTCAAAGATAATATACAGTATAAAGAAGGATGAAATAGGTGTTTCCCCCACACCTTAAAGGACCACTCTAGGCACCCAGACCACTTCAGCTTAATGAAGTGGTCTGGGTGCCTGGTCCAGCTAAGGTTAACCCATTTTTTAATAAACATAGCAGTTTCAGAGTGAGAGCACGCCAGCGTCCATATGAAAGCATTGTCGCGCGTGCGCATTCAGCCGACGGGGCGGAAAGGAGGAGGAGAGGAGGCAGAGAGCTCCCCGCCCAGCGCTGGAAAAAGGTAAGTTTAAACCCCTTTCCAGAGCCGGGCGGGTATGTTTTCCTGGCACTATAGTGGTCCTTTAATACAAATACAGAGCAAAACAACACCTACAACAAAGTGTAAACAATCACACCAAGTAGAGGTGAACCCTTCAGACTGGATATAGTGGTATAATACAAATATACTTATGTATATGAATAGTGAAGAAATCTTCACAATGTCTGCAAGAAAATAATACAAAACATAGTGTATATTGTTTATATAAACAATTAAAAAGGAATAAGTGGAACAATTCACAAATTGCAGAGCCGGGCTAGGCTCTGTAAATTAAGCCCAAGGGTGCCTTTCCAGGCTGTAGTTGAATCTCCATAGGCCACTGATGTATAGATGGACCACAGAATAGCAGATGAAGAATGCAGCAGAAGATGAGGTATGAAGAATTTATTGAAGATAAAAAAAACAATTGAATAGTCTCCAAGATTAGACAATACAGATCTCAAACACCCCTTTTCTTTTTCAGCACTGCAGGGGTTAAACTTGAATCTGGGGAAATGAAAAACTTAAATGGTGTGATAACATTAGGTGAGGAGCCTCCACCAAGTACACCCTATGTGGAGCTCTCACCTTAATAGTTTATATACTTGTATCAATTGTGCAGTCTATCCCACAATATAGATAGCAAATCTTCTGAAATTATTAATCCAGATCTTAATCAGATCTTTTCCCTTTTCGGCAGTGCAGGGGTTAAACTTGAATCTTATTGATTGATATACTTGTATCAATTAGACAATGTATCTCACAATATAGGAAACAAATCTTCTGCAATTACTCAGTTTTTCATATTTTTATTTAGTTTAAAATTGATCTTAAAAATAAAGATAAATAGTACATATAAAAGAAGTATACAACTTGACTAGCCGTATCAAACCAGATCACTGTTCGCGAGGTAGTTTTGATCAATTTTGCTTGATTCTCCTCTCTCCTGAATGCTGGATACGTAGTACCACGTTTCGCCCTAGGTGGGCTTTCTCAAAGTCTGTTGATGCAGAGTGCCGATTTCATTTAAATGCAGTGTTACAACTATCCTTAATTATAGATATCCTCCAGGTTCTCCTTATTCAATTTAACCCATTATTGAAACATAACCTTACAAGATAGTACCATTATGTTTCAATAATGGGTTAAATTGAATAAGGAGAACCTGGAGGATATCTGTAATTAAGGATAATGTGTGGAATGGAAGTGAGTATCTTGGAAAAAGACTATAGATATGCAAAGCAGCCTGATTTCTCTTTTATGCGGGAAATTCAGCCCCTTTGCACTAAAAACCACACGGGCCCTAAGATTCTGCTAACCCCCTCACTCTGATTTTATGCCTACAGCCTCGGTGGTCCAGATCTTCAAGGTGAAGTTGCAGGTCAGTGAGGCTTTGGGCATGTTGGTGTAGCAGTGGGCAATTGGCGTCTGAGCCAGCATTTTCCATGGCCGATACTCTGGACTCCAGCATGGAGAGGGATTGTCAGAGGGCAGTAATCTCTTATTGGAAGGTAACTTTTACATCCTCTATCAGGGCAAGAAAATGAAGAGAGCGGGAGTGGAGGTCCACACAGCAGCCTTCCTTCAAAATCAAGGTCCTTGGTGATGAAGGCACCATTTGCTGTACCTATTTCTGGGTGGTGAGAATCACTGGCATTTGGAGGTAACGCCTGATTAAAAAAGAGGGGATCCATTGTGTCCTGGGGATCATAGGTGTCAAAGTAGCTCATTTTGTTCATCCCATGAATAAAGGGCAAGGTGTAATTTAGCAATTATAGGCATTCTCAGAGAGCGAATATCAAGCTGCCATTCCACACTAGTGCCAAGCCACACCACCAGGAAAACAGTCTTATAACTCTTCCCAATTTGATGGGCAGCAACAATTGCTTCTGTCATTGCTGGTGTCTTTCCTCCTTGGCATTGTGTTAACAGACCTGAATGCTCCAGACTAGCAAACTGCTAAAACTTGGGCTTTTATAAAGGTGGTCACACTTGCTGATGATCAATTAATCAATGTAATTTGATTAGCAGCACCTGTCTGTTACATAGCCTCTATGATTCCTATGGAAGCAGTAAGGGTGTTCTTAGTTTCTCAGATATGGCTTCTCCATTTTAGCTTTATTTTTGTTAAAATCATAACACGGTGTAATATGTCATGTGTTGTTGTTCTAAAAAAATGGAAATAGGTACTAGCGCTAATATGATGGAGGTATATAAATATATAGTATAAAATGAAAATATGTATACCAGCTGCTAAACACTGAATAGAAGTGACTTTCCCATAAGACACAAAGTATACAATAAACAAAAAGATAGATAGTGTAGCGCTTATATGTGACAATATAAATAGTAGTTACCTTAATGATAAATAGTAATCTACATCCAGATACAATCAATGTAATGTAGTGGACCAGATGGAATCAAACTCTGAAATAGTACAAAGGAAATACCAACATAGTGTAAAACCTTTTAAACAATATAAATATTAAAAATAATCTTAGGAACACTCACAAACATAGAGATATAAACCTAGCTCTGGTGTATTTGGCTTCGGGTCCGTTACAGCGACCCACCCCTATGGAGAGATCTGTGTGTGGTACTAGGAAAGTTGGAAAAAAACACAATAGGGTAGCACAGTTGATTTTCAAATAAGAGAAGTGGTAAGTAAGAAATGTACTTACAAACCTAGAGCCCCTATGGCTCTGCAGTCGTGCAATGTGTAGTGAGGGACTACACTCCCTCTAGTGTAAGATGATGCCGGCCACCAGGGTTAAAAGTAAAATACTTTATTAGAGACACTAAAATGTAATAAAACAATAAAAAAGGAACTATGTCCGTGTAGAAATTTTAAATGATTCTAGTACTTATAAGAAATTAAATAGAAATCCTAGTGAAGAAATCCTAGTGAAGGAGAACCTGGAGGATATCTGTAATTAAGGATAACATTTTTAGAATTTTTTGAAAGAGGTTTTAAAGAAGGCATTTTAAATCAAAGAAATTCGATTTTCTCAATATAAAATATCCTAAAATTCCAGTTTTTTATTTCCTACCTAAGGTTCACAAGAATGTAACTCATCCCCCTGGTAGACCGATCATTGCAGGAGTAGATGCAATTTCTAGTAAATTATCACAATATATCGATGTTCTGTTACAGCCTCTAGTACAAAAAACTCATTCCCACATTAAAGATACTATTTCCATTTTAAAGCTTTTAGAAGATTTCAAATGGGAAAATGAATATACTTTGGTTACGTGTGATCTCACAGCTTTATATAGCAGTATCCCGCATGAATATGGATGTAAAGCAGTGAAACACTTTTTAGATTCTTCTGCAGAATTTTTACCTGCCCAGGTTGATTACATTTTGGAAGGTATTCACCTTCTTTTAAAGAATAATATCTTTTGGTTTAGGGAAGAATTTTTTCTTCAGATCAATGGAACTGGCAAGGGGACCAAGTTCGCTCCCAGTTATGCCAACCTTTTTATGGCACTCTAGGAGGAGACTTTTGTCTATGGCCACCATAACTGGGAGGGGAGCTTGGTCTCCTATGGCAGGTACATTGATGATATCCTATTTATTTGGAAAGGTAGCATAACAGATTTAGAAGAATATCTTAAATTCCTTAATCAGAACACATGGGGTATAAGATTAACTAGTACATGGAGTAAAAACGAAGTAACTTTCTTGGATTTAAATATTTACATCAAAGATGGGAAAATATTAACAAAAAATCATTTTAAAACTGTGGATTGTAACAGTTTCATAGAACGTATAAGTTGTCATTACACTCCATGGCTAGTAAATGCCCCTAAAGGACAGTTTCTACGTATTTGTCGGAATTGTACAGATTTAGGGAATTATGATATTCAATCCTCCAAAATTAAAATAGACTTTTTAGACAAAGGTTCGAATTATCACGGATAGAAATAGGAAATAGAGATATAAAAGAGATGTTAGAATATAAGAAGAACTCCTCAATTAGCAATAATGTCCCTTTTATCTGTAATTTTAACACCAAGAATCATCAAGTACGTAGAATTATAACAAAATACTGGCCAATTTTATTACAAGATCCACTTTTAAAATCCTTTTTATCAAATAAACCTAAGTTTGTCCACAGAGGTGTTAGAAATTTAAGAAGCTCCCTGGTTAATAGTTTTATCAGAGAGAAAAATAAAAATCCCGGTACCATCTTTAATAATGAGAAGGGATTTTTCGGTTGTGGGCAATGTATAGCCTGTAGAAAATCAGGAAATAATAAGAGAACTATTCATAATATTAAAAATAACCAAAATAAATCTATACATATAAAGGAATTCATCACTTGTTATTCCAAGAATGCTATCTACCTTTTAAAATGTCCCTGTGATTTAAAATATATAGGCCGAACTATTAGACTTCTACATGTTAGGATTAATGAACACATCTGTAATATCCAGAGAGGATTCGAGAATCATAGCGTTTCTAGCCATTTCAAACAGTTCCATAACCAAGACCCAAAACGCCTATTTTTATGGGTGTAAAAAAGGTAGAAAAAATTGGAGAGGGGGAGATTTTAATAAAAGGATAGGCCAGATTGAAATGGAATGGATCTACAATATGAATACTCTAATCCCTTATGGACTAAATGCTGATTTTGAGTTTTGTCATTTCCTATAATCTCTAGGATATTTCTCCTCTTTATATTTTTTGATCTTATGTAATAAATTCTATTCCCATTAAAAGAATATTCTGATGTTATGGATTACAACCAAAAAAAAAACTGTGATCAGTTGTTTATCTATATAGGGTCATAATATTCATTTATTGTCTATCTATGGGTTTAGAATGTATATTTTCTTGCAATCTATTTGTAAGAGATTTCATCCCTTTGTGTTGGTTATATATACCTATATGTTATATATTGTTGAGGATGTGGTTTTAATTGTTGATTATAGATATATTATATGTGTTCTTATCATTCATGTACATAGTATTATCCATTGAATTTGCACGGATATGTGTTTGTATTATTTGTTTTTTTGGGGGAAGGTGATTGAATGTATTACTTACTATTTATTGATTTTTTTATTGATTATTTGTATAAGTTGCAGAGTAATATTAGCCATTGGTAATACTTCTTTTCTCTTTTTTGTATATCCATATGTCATGCATTTATTCATGACGACGAGTCCTTGTATGTGCAGAGATCGAAATTGCAAAGACTGTTACTTTTCCTTTACGAACATTCCTATTGAAGACATCGGTGATGTCACTGCATACCAAGGAGGCTTGACCCGCATACTATGTCTGCGGTACGAAGCTTGCACCTCATACGTTTTATCTGTCAGTGGTAATTACGTAGAGGTAACGAGCACACCTGGCATTTGTTCTTTCATTAAACAAGCTATTTAAACTTGGACCGGCGAACCAGGGATACACATTAATTTCTTCTACCCAGCTGAGGAAACTACACGCTGTAGTGAAACGCGTCCTGGGATTTCTACACGGACATAGTTCCTTTTTTATTGTTTTATTACATTTTAGTGTATCTAATAAAGTATTTTACTTTTAACCCTGGTGGCCGGCATCATCTTACACTAGAGGGAGTGTAGTCCCTCACTACACATTGCACGACTGCAGAGCCATAGGGGCTCTAGGTTTGTAGGTACATTTCTTACTTACCACTTCTCTTATTTGAAAATCAACTGTGCTACCCTATTGTGTTTTTTTCCAACTTTCCTAGGACCACACACAGATCTCTCCATAGGGGTGGGTCGCCGTAACGGACCCGAAGCCAAATACACCAGAGCTAGGTTTATAGCTCTGTTTGTGAGTGTTCCTAAGATTATTTTTATTATTTATATTGTTTAAAAGGTTTTACACTATGTGGGTATTTCCTTTGTACTATTTCAGAGTTTGATTCCATCTGGTCCACTACATTACATTGATTGTATCTAGATATAGATTACTATTTATCATTAAGGTAACTACTATTTATATTGTCACATATAAGCGCTACACTATCTATCTTTTTGTTTAATGTGTTGTTGTTCACCTGACATATTTACCTAATTTTAAGGATAAGTAACATATTGTTAATATGTCCTGATATGTAAAACCATTTAAATCAAAGAGGGTGTAGTTTATTTTTCCCATAACTATATATGTAAATATATTTGAAAAATCTGGCCCGTACTTTCACAGAATACTAGATCATATTCATACACCTTTGGAATTGTGGGTTTGCATTTGACCCTTTTTGGGGCTGAAGAATTAGGAAAAAAGGAGACTTCTGATGGTAAGTATATACATATCCCAATCAAAAATGAGAGAACTCACTGGATTCCACAATTCAAACAAGTGTATTAAATTTTTGCAAAGATGATCAACGTTTCGACCTTATGGTCTTTATTAACCCGCCTCCCCGGACGGCAGGTGTGCTACGCCATCCTTGGGGACCCGGCTCGCTGGCGATCCCACAATGGGGGACTTACCTGGCATCCCAGGGAGTTAATCCGGCCCTCCTGGGCCATGTGATCGCGAGGTCCTTGCGAGGACCTCATGATCACATTGACGAAATAGCCGTCCATAGCAGTGCCAGCAGGGGGGTGCCTGGAATGAAAGGCAGTCCCCCTGCTGCCTGTAATAAAGTTTAATAAAGTTCAAACACAGTGAAAAATAAAAAATAAAATAATATATACTTAGATAATAAATATATATTATATATATGATCTAAGTATTTATTATACACTTACACAAACATACACATACACTGTCTAATTATATATATATATAGTAATATTAAAATATACGTAGAATGATATTAAAGATATATATATATATATATATATATATTGTGATAAAGTGAAGGCAGATAGGCCTTTTAACCCCAGCGGAAGTACCTGTAGTTTGTGTGTTGCACAACACAAAGCTTTGTTTAGTTATGGGCCCCTGGGGTGGAGCATTTGGAGAGAAGGGTGGGCCAGTGCTCCACTCCACAGTTTAGTGGTTTTCTGGGGAGACGTAGATCCAGGCCAGGGTTTTTTGGACCGTCTCCAACCCACTGCTCACCTGCAGTTAATGAGCTGTTGCAGTAGGAATAAACCCCTCCCTGCTAGGCAATTAATGGGGGGGAATTGCTGGCTTCCTCCCAGGAAGCAGGTAGGAGAGAGGCTGTTCTCTCCAGATAGAGAGTCAAGGAGACTAGGCACTGGGAGTGCAGAAAGGAAGCAGTCAAGGCTGGCTTGGAGCACTGGGAGTGCAGGAGGAAGCAGTCAAGGCTGGCTTGGAGCACTGGTAGTACAGAAAGGAAAGCAGTCAGGGCAAGGCTGGCTTGGAGCACTGGGAGTGCAGAAAGGAAAGCAGTCAGGGCAAGGCTGGCTTGGAGCACTGGGAGTGCAGAAAGGAAAGCAGTCAGGGCAAGTCTGGCTTGGAGCACTGGGAGTGGAGAAAGAAAAGCAACAGGCTAGCTAGCAGAGTGTTGCTATCTAATAAGGTTGGTGCAATATGTTTTTGTTAGTTTAACCCTGATAGAGAGGGATATTCAAAGTGAGTCAGTGCTCAGACGAGCTAGGTTTTTGTTTAAAGGGAAACCTGTTATATTTATGTTTTCATTTGCTGCTGCCTCATATGTAAACTTACAAATAAAGTGCCTGGAATGAAGTTGCATTAAAAGACTGTGCATGTTTTTGCCCTAGAGGACCGTGCTACCTGCTGACAAGGATCACAATATGGTGGAGAATGCGGGCAATGTAGCACAGTGAGGGTCTGTGGGTGTGCCAGTCATCTGGTAGTCTGCTTGAGGACTTTTATTTTGGCAGACCTGCTAATCAAATAAGTAGCACTGCACCTTTAAGACTGTTACCCGCTTGGTGCTATAATGGAGGACCTGCTGAGAGCTGTGGTACAGGCAACCGCTAAACAACAAGGCACAAACAGTTTCCTGGCTGTACAGGTTAAGAACCTGAGGGACGCTCAGCAGGAGCATAGAGCTGCCCTTACTGAGGTTTTGCAGATTGCCCCCTGCAGGGAGTGTGGGGACAAGGGACCCTGTAACCAAGCTACTGACATCCTGCATGGGATGACAGAGGCAGTAGAAGAAGTCTTCAGCAAGCTGAAAAGCATCGAGGCAGCAAAGCGTGCTGTTGAGAAACACGCAGGAGAGAAAGAACAGGAATTAAAAGGCAAGAAGGATGAAATTGAGCCTGAAAGAAGTGATAAAACGGAAGAGGGTGAAAAGCCAGCTGGATCCTCCAAGGAACAAAAAGAAGAAAAGTTAGTAAAGAGTCCAGCAAAGCCAAAGGAAAAAGCGGAATTGCCAAGAGGCAGTGATGGTGACACTGATGACATGCGCCAGAGTAAGAAAGAGCAGAAGAGTCAGAAGGGAGATCGAGACAAACTGATTACTGAAGTTGACATGTGTTTTATTGAAAATCAAAACATTGCAGCTTCACATGAAAGCCTCAAACATGCTCGGAGTGTCATCACCACAGATGAAGAGGACTTGGAAAAAGAGTCAGAAACAAAGATATTTTCACGCTCAGAAGCTGAATCTTACATGTTTCAAGAGAATGCTGGAAAGACATTAGAAAACAGAAAGGTGCTGATAAATCTTCCCGAGGCAACAAAAGGAGAAAAAAAGTGAAGCAGAAGCCGCTGATGTTCACCCAAGTGAACAAGTTAAAGGCATGAAAAGCAGACTGACTTGGGGAGTCAGAGAAGACAACAGCGAAGGAGCTGAGCTCAATAGAGAGAAGCAAAGCACCCCAGTTGAGCTAAAAAATGCTGTGCACTGTTTAGTAGCAGTGGCTACCCAAAAATGGCAACCAGCTGTTGGACAGTTTGGCAGAGAAAAGCAAGGCAGAAGAAGTAGTGGCAAAACGAAGTCAAAATAACAAAGGCAAAGTAGCCGCTTCTGATCTAAGCCAAGAGAGAGCGACAGTTACAGAACCAAGCTGTGATGATAAGATGGGCACGTCCGCAGCTAAGCCAGATCATGGCGAACGTCACAAAGTAGGTGACATTGGCATAGCAGAATTAAATATTTCAGAGACACCTGGTATAGCTACAAAGACTTTGAATGATTGTTCGGGAGCCGTAGAACTGGAACTGCTGGCAAAGACTACAAGGCCTGGGCGCACTGACTACCTGGAACAGCTGCCAGATTCTGGGAACACACATATATATACATATATATACGTTAAAAATAAAAAATAAAAATTATAAAAAAATATACATGTGTAATTTCGTTCTAACTGTATTTTGATATTAATATATATTGATATCAAAATACACTTGGAACAAAATAATATATATATATATATATGTATATATCACTATATATACCTATATATAACCCAGGCAGAAAGTCCAGAGAATTTAATTTGCTAGCACTATATTTGACCCTGTAACTTTACAAGACACCATAAAACCTGTACATGGGGGGTACTGTTTTACTCTGGAGACTTTGCTGAACACAGATATTAGTGTTTCAAAACAGTAAAATTTATTACAATGATATCATCAGCGAAGGTGAATTTTTGTTTTAATTTTTCCCACACATACACTGATGATATTCTTGTGATACGTTTTATAGTTTTGAAACACTAATATTTGTGTTCAGTGAAGTCTCCTGAGTATAACAGTACCCCTCATGTACACGTTTTATGGTGTTTTCAAAAGTTACAAAGCCAAATATAAGGCTTGTGTTTCAGTTTTTTCACACTGAAATTCGCCAGATTGGTTACGTTGCCTTTGACAGCATATGGTAGCCCAGGAATGAGAATTACCCCCATGATGGCATACCATTTGCAAAAGTAGACAACCCAAGGTATTGCTAATGGGGTATGTCTAGTCTTTTTTAGTAGCCACTTAGTCACAAACACTGGCCGTGAGGTGAGCAGGTGCAGGAGGGAAGGGCAGAGAAACAAATGGCTCTCGCTTGGGGGCGAGGGATGAGACACATGCAGGAGCTTGGTGGGGGATGGGACACATGGAGGGGCTTACTTGGGCTGATAACATACATGACAGGACTTGGGGGAATCAGTTTACCCAGAACCAATGATAAATCTAGGCAGAACAAACCGTGCTGGGGATGCTGCTATACAGTGCAAGGAAAGGGTTAATGTTAAGATGGAAGGGTCAAGTGAAGACAGGGTTACAGTGTTATACAAGGTTAGGAATTCTACCTGATTCCTGAGTCTTAAGCTTGTTAGTTGCAGTACTTGTTCTAGAATGTGCAATAGAATGTAAAAATTCCCCAGCTGCTTAGCCCTTCTAGGAGGATTCTGGTTTTAATTATAGCCTTAATCTGCAGATACAGCAAAATTGGAAACTGTGGTTTGAAAAGGACTGTTGCAGTCATATTTGGCTGGTTTCTAGGTATTTAATCCAGAGCTCTGCTTAATAACAAGATAATACTATCTACTTTGTAAAAAAAAAAGGTTGGTCTTGTCGCACTCCTCATCTCTCAGTAGATTGCTAGCACTATTTTTTTTTAATAAATATGCTGGTTTCAAAAGTTGTGGTATTTGCATAGTAGGGTTATTTTCTGTGTACTGTGAGGATTATTTCTATAAAGATGTCTAATGCAAAAAAAAATTTCTGACAGTAGCATGTTTTATTCTGAACACAAAATGTGTATTCCCAACACCAGGGCCGGCGCTACCATAAGGCGGCACAAGCGGCCGCCTTAGGGCGCACGAACCCAAGGGGCGCAAAAATGTCCGAGTGACTGGCGGGAGCACGGAGAACTCCGCTCCCGCCGGTCAATTTCTGCAGCTATCTGCCCAGCTGGCTGAGAAACGTGCACCCACTGAGGGAAGTGGGCGGAACAGCGAGGAGCGACCGCGGCAACTCTCTTCCTGAGCTACAGGCCGCTGGGATACGTGACATCATATCCCGGCGGCCAACTGCTGTGGAGAGAGGAGGAAAGCTACAACAGTGCAGCGGGACCTCTGTTTTGCAACTATAAGAAACAGTAAGTGTGTGTGTAAGAGTTAGTGTGTGTGTTAGAGCCAGTGTATGTGTGTGTGTGTTAATGTGTGTGTGTTAGAGCCAGTGTGTGTATGTAAGAGTTAGTGTGTGTGTTTGTGTAAGAGTTAGTGTGTGTGTGTGTGTGTGTGTAAGAGTTAGTGTGTGTGTGTATGTAAGAGTTAGTGTGTGTGTATGTAAGAGTTAGTGTGTGTGTATGTAAGAGTTAGTGTGTGTGTGTTAATGTGTGTGTGTTAGAGCCAGTGTGTGTGTGTTAGAGCCAGTGTGTGTATGTAAGAGTTAGTGTGTGTGTGTGTAAGA